TCGAAGGTTGGAAATCATCATGGCTATGCGGACTGTGTTGACTGCCGCTCTAAAAAGTTCTGCAGTACTGCATTCAAACCATTCCCTTAAGTTCTTAAGCCAGGATATTCTTCGTCGTATTCAGCTACTACGTAATATTCAGCTACTACGTAAGTTTTTTTACCAAATATAAAATGTATTTAAAGTGCAGTAAACTTTTAAACATAAATAAATAATTTATATGTCTTTTAGACAAACTACTTCAGATTTTATATTACAAGGAAAAAGAATTGTAGATGTACAATATTTTATTAGGCAAATACTGCAATTCCCTCACCACGGATGGTTTAATTGCTCTTCGGAAGATATTACGGGAACTAGTGAAAAGCGAAAAGGATTTTATTCTAAATTCACTCTCTTTTGCCCAATGTGTCACGTGAAACATGAAGTAGAAACTGAAAAATGTAAACAACCATCCCTCAACGTAAATTCTGCAGCAATAACTGGAATAGTTAGTATTGGTGGAGGATACACACAACTAACTGAATTAACGTCCAGTTTAAATATCCCACCACTATCAAAAATATTATTTATCAATTCAAAATGATCTAATTGACTTATACCATGAAAGTTCTTGGATATCAATGTTAAGGCTGGACAAGAAGAAATCGAATTAGCAAAAGAGCATATAGGTAGATATTAATGAAGATGGCTATCCTTTTATAACTGTTGTTGCGGACTGCTCTTGGTCAAAGAGATCATATAAAACACATTATAACGCCAATTCTGGAGCTGCAGCCTTTATGGGTTACAGAACCCAAAAGATTCTGTATCTTGGAGTTAGGAACAAATACTGTTCCTACTGTAAATTATACGGAGAAGATAAAGAACACGTGTGTTATAAAAATTTGATAAAAGCTTCGACTGCAATGGAAAGTCAAATAATACTAGATGGACGTAAAAAATTGAATGTCGTAACCACCTCCTAAGAAACTATTGTCCAATATTAAAAGAGTTATCAACAAAACGATATAGTTCCGATGGAAAACTGGTACCAATTTTCTTACGAAAGCTTTTAAAAAATATCATATTAAAATTAAGAAAGGCTGTTACAAAAGCAACTGAATACCATTGACAGTCAGAAAAACCAAGTGAATTAAAAATAAAGTTTTTGAAAAACGATATATCGAATAGCCATCTTCATGTATTTGGAAATCATTCGAATTGCGAAGATATTTTTGTCACAGAAAATCATCAGAAACAAATTATACAATATCAATGAAAGAATGCAGCCTCTTGAAAGATATTAGCTCATGTGTAGCAAGATTAAAATTTCATCTAAATAGTCTTATAAAAAATATGAGTAACAATTTTGCTGAACAATATAACAATGTAATAGCAAAGTTTCTAGGAGGTAAAAGAATAAATTATAGCTCTCGGGGGTCCTATGAAATGAGATGCCACGGTGCTGCTTTGTCGTACAACTCTAAAGGTCATTATTACCAAGCCCTTCACAAAAGCATCACAGGAACAAGTCCTGGCGTATATACAAAAAAATTTATTTCAGTGTGCACAAAAAATACAGCGCGAAGAAAAATGTATTACAAAAATTTGCAAAAATCAAAAATATAAAATCCATGCTCCAGATGAAGATTATGGACCACAAGCACAAAAAAACATTAGAAATTGATCGTGACGAATAAGAGAACATTAAAGAAAAATTTCTATCGGAACTTCATAAGAATAATCAGGAATGTATTTGATTATTCAATAATACAATAACTCAACGGAATTCAAGTGAACATTATTTTAAATGCTTTTAAAGGAAATAAATCCACAGCCTATGGAATACTCCGCAGCAAAATGTTTTACAAAATTATTTCAATTTTCCCCAGCCAAACCACTTTTTTCCACGCCACGCTCTGTATTCCTTGATCATGTCTCAAATGTGTTTGGTGTATCATATTCTGTACACAAGTGCATTGGTTTGTTTTTGGTACCTAGTTTCAAAGCGACAGTTTGGCGCCAGTAACAATTACATAGTAATTTCATAGAAAACATATTGAAATATTTGGTGTATTTTCGTTGTATTTCATAAAAGTTGATTTCATAAAAGGTGAAAAATAGTATTTTAAAAATGGTTTTTATTGACTAATATTATATTTATCTTATATATGGCATCATATGAAAAAGAGCAAGAACGACTACAGCGACTAATGTTAGACTGTCTCAGTGAAAATGAACATAATGAAGAGGTAGTGAACAACAACGACGTAACAGCGAAGAGAATATAATATAGTAAAGCAAGAAAAATATTCTCATTCTGAGAATGAAATTAAAGATTAGAAAGTAGAAGTCAGTCTCTTACAAGTATCTTATTTGGTTGGAAAAGATAAAAAAGTAAGTGGGCTCCCACATCACGAACAAGGGCAGTAAAGTTGATAACTCGTACTAAAAAATCGACCAACACGTTTTTCTATAAAAAATATGCCAAATTCATGTACCTTGGACATTTAAATTGTGTATCTACAGTATGTTATTCTGATAATATGATTTAGCAATACCTAATTTATATTTTTTTATTTCTTTTTGTATATTTAAATTTTTTTTTGTGTATCTTTAGTACTTTTATTTTAATTAATAATTTTTAATTAACAGTAATTTAATATTAGTTTCAAAAAGTCATTCAACTTATAGAACAGTTGTCAAAACAGTCAATACAAAATCATAGTCAGATCATCTGTTAAGCATAACATTTTATAAAGTGATTCCATACCTAAAATTCAGAGCACTTATATCAGAGTAGAAACGTTATGGTGGTCAATAATTGTCGCAGCTATTTATTCACCTTCTAGACATAATATCCTAGTTGAAGAATACGAGAGCTTCTTCCAAACCCTTGCCTCGCACTTCCTGTAGCAGGCGAATGGAATGCCAAAAATACTCTATGGGGATCACAACTAACTACAACGAAAGGTAGTCACCTACATCAATCATTACAGTAAAACAATGCATTTTTCTTATCAACAGGATAACCAACATACTGGCCAGCAGAGAACAACAAAATTCCGGATCTTCTAGATTTTGCTATATTTAAAGGTTTACCTAATACGCATTCCAAAATAGAGCCTAGTTTTGAGGTAAGTTTGGACCATAGCGCCATATAAATATTAAGCACAACTATCATATACAATCAACAGCCATTAAGATCATCTAACAAAACAGCAAACTGGGAACAATTTAAAAACACCAATAACTAGAATATAACGTTATATCGCCGAATAAAAGTAATTACTGTAATACAAAACGCTCCTTGGGAATCTACTTCTATGAGTGAAGAGAAAAATCCTGAAGACAACAATGTGTCATTATATATTAAACAAAATCTAACCGAAAGGAGAGCGTGACACCATTAACACACCGGCTAACGTCAGCGCTTGACCTTCCACTTCAGTTTCGAGCTTTCCGTAGCTAAATAGTGTGATGCCTAGATATTTAAACTGCATCACTTGTTCTATTATCTGACCTTCCAGCTCCAATTTATATTTTGGTAAATTTGCTGTTACAACCATGCATTTTGTCTTTTTTGGGGAAATTAACATGTTAAATTTTCTGGCGGTTATATAAAATAACTGGTGCAGCATAGGTTGTAAATTGTCTTCATTTTGAGAGAGTAGTATTGTGTCGTCTGCATAGCAGATTACTTTAAGTTGATTTTCTTTCATTTGGTATCTTTTTTAGTTCTTACTTTTCTTATTATTTCATCCATAATCAGGTTAAATAATAGAGAAATCAGGAAATCTCCCTGTCTAATCATATTACCAGCTTTAATAGGGTCGGTTAGTTCTTCTTCTACTTTTACTTTTATTGTGTTGTTTTGGTAGATATTTTCGATCGTTTTGATTATTTCTAGAGGTGTCTCTCTTGCGTACGGTAACTGGATAACGTCTTTTAATTTGACTCGGTAAAATGCCTTATTAACGACCACGAAACATAAATATGCCGGTTTGTTGTATTTTAATCTCTCGCTAAGTTATGGTATATTGCTGTAGATTAGAACGTTTGAATCTTTTCAACTCTACAGCCAGTTCAATTAGATAAAATAGTACCTAAACCTATTCTTCTATACATAAGAAGTTCTGTTATAATATCTGGTTTTAATATGGAATTCATTATAGAAATTTTCTTCATGGATTCTTTAGTGGACTCTTTAAAAGTGACTTCATTTTATAATCGGAATCTCCAAGTAATAACCGTCTTCTATATCACCATCACTTTTCTATAATAAATTAAATTAAAAAGAGGTAGAATATCTATTTTTATAGTCTTTTAAAATAAACAATCATAAAAAACAATGTGTTTGTGAATGAGCAGTTGGAAATTGATCCTAATTTTTATCGAAAAATCATCTTCAGCAGCAGTGAGGTCTGTTTTTGGATGAATGGATACGTCAACAAATAGAATTGTCGAATTCTAAACACATTCCAGCCAACACACTTATTTTGGCTGGATTGAATCAATTGGCCATAACTGAGTTGAACGACGTCTGATTTCAACTCGATGTTTGCACATGCCATACAACGCATGCAACATTAGGCATTCTGCACAAGTGGTTTAAGGGCATGGTCATCTCTTGTGGAGGTGATGCGAACTGGTTACCTAGATCGTGCAATTTGATCCCGTTAGACTCCTTCTTATGGAGTTTTCTTAAGCCATACATCCATACGAATTAGCCACAAACAACAGCGGTCCTCAAAGCTCACATAACCCATGCCATCGACCAAATTCAGCCTTATTTATTCATGGAAAATGCAAATTTAGGAAGACTCTATATATAAAATAATCCATTGTTTTCTTTATTAGTTTTTAATAATAGATCGTGCCTTTTTAATAAATCTAATTGATTTAGATTCTGAATCAAATTTATTCTCCTTGTGTATTTCATTTTTAATTACAAAAATCTATTTGCTGCTTTTATTTACCTATGGGTTAAAAAAAAAAGCAAACAAAACAAACCAATGGAAATTATTTATTTTTCAATCGATCGAAATAAATTACCATTAAATTAAAAATAGGTACTTCTAAATCTAACACATAATAAATATGGCCATTTTTATGACATATCACAATAAAATCACTTTAAAATTTATCGAATCATTGCACATACGTTCAGAAAAATATCACCACATGGACACTGAATCGAACTTGCGCGGACGGTGAACGCAACTGAAACAAAAAATACAATTGTAATTATATAACGGAATACTATTTTATAATAAAATTTAAAAAAAATATCGTTTCATAAATAAAAGAGCACTTATTTTAAAAATTTTAGTGACTTTTTGTAGTAAAAACTAAAACGTAGCCAGTAGAGATAATAATCATGTTCTCAGGACCGTTCCGGTCCTAGGGTGCAAGAGGTGAATTAAGTAAAAATAAAATAACTAATTATACAAATTATCAAAACAAATATTATTTAGTAACAGAAAGGTTGAATTTAATAAAAGAAATTGTAATTATTGTATATTTAAATTTAAATTTTTATATAGGTATACAACTTCATAGTTAGAAAATTAAATCTTATATTTTGGTGTTTCATTGAATACCTACATTTTAATCTGTTTCTCGCGCCGCGCGCCGTGTCTAAGATTTTTCAGAAAATACTCGTGTCTGGTCAAAAAATATAAATGAATGCTGCGAGATAATTCCTGCCATTTTAATCTTGAACATGATGTAAAGTTTAACAGTGTAATCATAACAAACTTAAATAAATTGATAGAGGTAATGGATTTTCTAAAGAGCTATGAGCCAAATCGACGCAGAACACAAGTTTACGCCTGAAATAAGTTGTACTAATCTTTCTAGTTTCAGCAGTTAAATTTTATTCTTTGGCAGTTTTTCATTCAGGTCGTTTCTATTCCAAATCTTTTGATGGTGTACTAAAATTTGTTTCTTTTTTAATTAATTATTATATTTCTAACTGAAATATTTTTTCAAATTTAATCGAAAGCAGTATGACCACATTTAAAAGTACCTCAAATATAGACGAGACACTGAAGAACCTTGTTACCATTATCACAAAAGAAGGAGAAAAAGCAATAGGAAAGACTACATGCATAAAACAACGCAACCCTGTCCCATGGTGGAGTCACGAATGCAAAGCAGCAGTTGAATTTAGCAAAAGAGCTTTTGACCAATACAAGCGCTACAAAACTGTTGAGAATAAAATTGAATTCAGAAAACAACGTGCTATAGCCAAAAAGACAACTAGAAATGCCAAACGCCAGTCATGGACTCAATATGTATCAACGTTAAATGCAAACAATTCCATGACTAAAGTATGGAACAAAGTCCAAAGAATATCCTGATTAAATAGTAATCAGAATATCAAAAGCCTTGAAGTATATGAAAAGGCAGTTACTAGTAATACTGAGATTGCCAAAATCCTTGTTAACACATATAAAAACCGATTCAGTAATATTAATTATAAAAAATCTTTCATCAATTACAAACAGCAAGAAGAAAATAAGAAAATTAGCAGTATACCTAATACAGAAGAACCGTTAAATTAAGCCATTTCTTAATTAGAGTATACAAAAGCATTATCGAATCTCAAAGAAACTAGCGCTGGCCCGAACGATATTCCTAGTATTTTTATCAAACACCTTCCAGATAGTCCTTGTCCATGGTCCTTACAAACAACTTCTAAATCTGATTAATATTATTTGGCTACAATAAAAATTTCCTGAAAATGGCATAAATCCACAGTTATACCTATAGAAAAACCTAATAGTATTAAAACAAGTTCCGAGTAATACCGACCGATATCTTTAACATGCGCCATGTGTGTTACTAAAAAAAATTATTAATAATAGACGCTAATGGCACCTGGAGAGACAAGATTTAATTATTCCAGGACAAAGTGGTTTTAGAGAGCCAAGGGCAACCATAGATAATATCATAGATTTTGAAAGTGACATTTCTGAAGCATTCGCAATAAGGAATAAATATCTAGCGGTTTTCTTTGACATATCAAGAGCTTTCTCATCTATCAATTATATAATAAAAAAATTACATAGTTGGAACATCCAAGATCACTGTCTTCTTTATGAAAAACTTCCTTCAAAATAAAGCTTTTAGAGTTAGGACAAACAACACAACATCCGATATAATGTATTCAGAAAATGGCATTCCTCAAGGCTCGGTTATAAGTCCTACGCTCTTTATAGTGGCAATCAATGATATTCTTAAAAATCTAAAATCGCCTATAAAGGCACGCGTCTACACGGATGATCTTGTAGTTTTTTGCAAAGGTAAAAATATACAAAATATATTTTGTCACACACATAAAACACTTAGAACTCTGGTCACAAAAAACAGGTTTCTGTTTTTTCACTGAAAAAACTCGTTTCATCCCGTTTTCTAAGAAAAATGTCACAAACACCCCCAACCTAAGACTATGTGATGAGAACCTAAAACGTGTAACGTCAATAAAATTCTTTGGCATGACATTCAAAGAAACTCTCAGCTGGAAACTTCATATAACAAATTTGATCTTATCTTGTCACAAGCGATTAAATCTTCTTAAAACTCTGGCCAATAAAGAATGGGGTGCGGATCGCCAAACACTTTTAATGTTATACAGAACATTAATCAGATCAAAATTAGAGTATGGATCTACTGTGTATTCACTAAGACATTGCTAAAAAAACTTGACAGTTTTCACAACCTATCTTTATGTATAATATCTGAATCTTTTCGCACAACACCAATCGAAAGTATTTATTGTGAAGTTGGTGAACCGTCCTTAAAAGACAGAAGACTTTATTTAAGTGTAGCATACGCTGCAAAAATCAGGTCTAACCCAAAAAAACCTACTATTCTCCCAAAGTTCCCAAATCTCTTCATAAATAAGCCAAGAACTGCCAAACCTTTCTACGCAGGGATTAAAAGCTATTTGAATCAATTAAACTACACGCTCCCAGAATGCTTTTCCTCCCAATCATCCTTAATTCCTCCATAGCAAATAAAGAACCCTCAGTGCCTAACCCACCTTATTGCTTTTGACAAACATTCAACAAATCCACAGTTCATCAAATCCCCCTTCAACGATATGCTTCACAACTGCAAAGATTATACACATATATACACAGATGCATCTAAATCAAATAAAGGTACTGGTGCTGCCATCATAACCCCAACATCGACAAATAAATACAAACTCCCTTCAGAGTACTCCATTTACTCTGCTGAACTGTATGCTCTATACCAGGCCACCCTTGCTGTCAACGCATCTAATAATACCAATTATATTATACTCACAGACTCTCATCAATCCAATATGTCTACCCAAATAATCCTTATTAAACTTATCAAGATAAAAGAAGAAATACATACCGCTCAACTGAATGGAAAAAATATTATATTATTTTGAATACCATCCCATATTGGAATTCCAGAAAATAAAGAGGCAGACAACGGTGCAAAAGAAGCTGCAATTAGTGATAGTGCGGAGTGTACTAAAACATTTCCGAGTGAAAGTGGCGGTTAAATTTAAAGTGCGATATATGTGGTAAGAAAAGTGGAAAGTGTCATCGGCCAAGCTACGTGATGTTAAAAAATCGATAAAACCCTGGCCCACATTACCAACAAGTCGGAGAGACCAGGTAATATTAACGCGACTTCGACTGGGTCATACGCAACTAACGAATAGCTACGTGTTCTCCAACAAAAAATAACCAAGATGTGACAACTATGATGAAAAATTAACAACCAAACATGTATTAGAGAAATGTCCAGCATTAACGCCAAAGAGCATGTTGTACAGTATACCCAACAAACTAAGTGATATTTTAGGTCTGCAGTGCAATATTTCAAACATAAAAAGTTTGTTTTCAACCTCAATTAATTCTTGTTCGCTATCATTGTTTTGCTAATAGCCAATTTGGCTGATGCGATTTTGTTAATAAAAAAAAAAAACTTCCAAAAGGTCAGTTAACGAGTTTGAAAAGAAAATAATTTGAAGAATAATTTGTTCTTACACAGCAATACACAAAAGAAGACCTACAATGAAATGAATTTTTAAAGAAGTAAAGAATTAAGAAAGAGTAAGTTTTAGAGGCAAAATGGAGTCGTTTAGAAAAGTAGTTTAAAAATGGGATTTCAGCGGAAAAAAAAAACAGAAAAGTTTAATTCGAGAAATATGATATAAAATCAAAAAGAATTGAATATTTAAAGAACTTGAAAACTACAAAGACGAGGGACGACCGATTATACATTATGATAAAATATATTCGTGGTTCACATATTGTACCAAAAGCATGGGACGATTATCAAAATAAATGTTTAAAATCACGTTTATCTAAAGGTCAAAGGCTTATTATGTTGGGGGTGAAGTAGGACTCGAGCCTGGGGCACTTACCATTTTTAAATCGGGGACAAAAAGCGGAGACTACCACAACGAAATGAATAGTGCTAATTTTATAAACAATTTTGTACCCTATATTTATGGGCGATGACAAAGGGGTTATTGGAATGGAGACCAAGAGAAGACTAAAGAAGCGTCGGTCGACCACCTACACAATGGGCTGACGATTTAAGAAGATAAAATAAAAACTGAGTAGCGCAAGACAGACAAGGATGGAAACACGAGGAAGAGGCCTATGTTCAGCAGCGGATTTTTGTTGTTAAAGTTGTTTTTAAAATATTTGATTTACGATTGCTTATAAACTTTCTGGGGACGGGGCGGCCAAATTACTCTCGCATTCGGGTGGCATATACGATAGGAACGGTTCTGCATATTCTTGGAAACTACAAAATAACTATGCTACTTGTACAATGTATTTAAAAAGTAATTCATATAATATAAAAAATAAGTCACCTAATAATATTTAGATCAAAAAAATTTGAATAAATTAAGCCTCTTTTTTTAAGTAAATTAGGAATATACCAGAAGCACTTTAAAATATTTCAAAATAAAGATATTTTAAATGGTATAATTCGTATTTTTTTATTTTTTAATAATTTATTTTATTAAAAAAGCAACGTTCTTCAACAAAAAGGATGATGTAACATTGAGTAGCGATAACAAAACAAACGGAACAGTGGCCAATCAATCATATACTTGTAAAAGAGGAAAGGGAAACGTTATACCAGAAAAATCGATGGGATTGTTCGTGCAAAAGAAAGTGTTTTGAGGTAGTATCAGCAGACGAAAGGAAAAGTAC